TATGAATTTCCCTTTTAGAATTGCTTTAGTTGTTTTCCAGAAGTTTTGGTGTGATGTTTCCATTTTCATTTGTGTAAAGGTATTTTTTAATTTGTCTTGATTTCTTTGTTGACCCACTGATGGTTCAGTAACTTGTTTAATCTCCACATATTTGTGAATTTTCCAGTTGGCTTCTTCTAATTGGTTTCTAATTTCATACCACTGTGGTCTGAAAAAAATGCTTGATATGTTTTCAATCTTAAATTTCTTAAGACTTGTTTTTGTGTCCAAACATATGATCTATCTTGAAGAATGTTCCATGTGCAGTTGAGAAGAATGTATATTCTGTTGCTTCCCCCCCCACACACATTATTACAATATTACTGATGATATTCTCTGTGTTGTACTTCTTTTATTTCTGTGACTTATAACTGGAAGTTTGTGAGTCTTAATCCTTTTCATCTGCTTCACTCATCTCCCACCCACTTCCCCTCTAGCAGCCACAAGTTTGTTTTAAGGGTGTTTTGTTGCAAGTGATTGTTGCCTAGGCTAGGGGAGGACAGGAAAATGATGCCCACCAGCATATTTGTTCCTGAGAAATCTCCTAAAGATCCCTGCCCCTAGAGCACAAGTTTTCTAAGATTAGTCAAGAAATCGCCTTTACATACACGCCAGGTGCTTTTCAACTACTGTTTCTGTGCTGTGTCTCAGGCCAGTTTATCTGGCCATCTCTTTCTGGGTGGGGACTTTCTTTCCTATTTCCATCTGGTTCTCCCAGAATTTAGCCCTACTGATTTTCAAAGCCAGACATTGTGGGGACTTGTCTTCCTAGTGCAAATCCTCAGGGCTGGGGCTACCCATTGTGGGATCTGATCCCCTCACTCCTCTGTGCTTGTGATGTCTCTCTGATTTGTGGTTATTTGCTCCAGGGTTTGCTTTTCAACTGCATCTCTCTCCCTCCTACCCTTATCCCATGTGCCCTTTTCTCTGTGAGGAGTTGTGGAAGATCTGTTCTGCTAGCCTGCAAGTAATTTTCAGTTAGTTATATAGATGTAGTTATTGCTTTGGTATAGCTGTGGAATGAGGTGAGCTCAGGAACCTCCTACTAGTAGTGCCATCCTTTCCATCTCCCTTGTTGCTTTCTGATGGATGTAAGTAACACTGAATCAGATGGAATGTTCTGTATATGTTAAGGCCTAGGTTTCCTTGTTGATTTTCTGTCTGGATGATTAATGTAAATGGGATATTAAAGTCCCCAAGTATTGTACTATTTCTCCTTTAGGTCTATTAATATTTGCTTTACATATTTAGGTGCTTCTATGGTGGGTGCACACTTCTTTACAAATGTTCTGTCCTTTTGCTGGATTGACCCCTTGATGTAATGCCCTTCTTTGTCTCTTATTACAGTCTTTGTTTTAAAGCTTATTTTGTATATGTGGATCTGCAATTAGTTGTTATAGGCGGTATATAGATGGGTCTTATTTTGTTGGTGTCGTTTAATGAAGCCACTTATATCTTTTGACTGAAGAATTTAGTATTTGTATCTAAAAATTGTTTTCTGGCAGTTTGGCAGTTTCTTCGTTCCTTCTGTGGCTCTCTTCGTTATTTGATGACTTTCTTTGGTGGTATGCTTACAGTTCGTATCTCTTGTATATCTACTTACAGTTTTTGCTAGGTTGTTACTGAAAAGCTTACATATGACAATTTATATCTGCAACAGTCTACTGTAAGTTGATGAGCTTGAAAGTGTTCTAAAGCTCTACATTTTTACTTTCTCTCCTCCATTTTGTTTTTTTCATTTCACATTTACATCTTTTTTTAGCCTATGTATCCTTTAATTACTAATAATTACTAATTACTAACAACTACTAATAACTACTAACTAGTAGTTATTTTTACTAATTTTGTCTTTTAAACTTCACACTAGCTTTATAGGTAATTAATCCACTACCTTTCCTATATATTTATCAGATTTATATCTTTTATATGTTGTCACAAATTAGCACCCTTTCTATTTAGCCTAAAGAAGTCCCTTCAACATTTCTTGTAAGGCTGGTTGAGTGGTGATTAACTCATTTACCTTTTACTTGTCTTGGACACTCTTTCACTTCCAAGTGATCATTTTGCCATGTACTCTTGGAAGTTTTTTTGTTTTTTTTCCTGTTAGCACTTTAAATATATCATGTTTCTCGCTTCAGGCCTGGAAAGTTTCTGCTGAAAAGTCTGCTGATAGTGTAGTTGGAGGTTCCCTTGTACATACGAAGTTGTTTTTCTCTTGGTACTTCTAAGTCTCTCCTTGTATTTTACTTTGACATTTTAATTATAGTGTGTCTCTTTGGGTTCACCTTATTTGCAACTCTCTGGGCTTCTTGGATGTCTCTTTCTTCCCCAGGTTAGAGAAGTTTTCAGCCATTATTTTTTCAAGTAAGTTTTCTGTCCTTGTCTTGTCCTTCTGGGTTTCCTATCAATGAGAATGTTAGCCACTTGATGTGGTCTCTTAGGTCCCTTAAACTACCTCCACTTTTTATTTTTCTCCTTGCTGCTCTAATGGGGTGAGTTCCTCTGCCCTGTCTTTGGGTTCACTGATCCATTCTTCTGCTTCTGCTAGTCTGCTGTTGAAACCCTCTGGTGTTATTTTCAGTTCAGTTATTGTGTTCTTCAGTTCTGTGACTTCTCCTTGATACTGAGATTTTTCTCTTTGTTGAAGCTCTGTGTTCATCCCTTCTTCACCCAGTTTGGTGAACCTCTTGAGGAACATTACTTTGAACTCTCTCAGGTAAATTACTTACCTCTGTTTCTGTAAGGCTCTTTCTGAAGTTTTATCTTGGTCTTTTATTTGGAGCATATTCTTCATTTTGCTGGACTCTTCTTCGTGTTTCTACAAGCAGCCTATGTTTACTTTAATAGTTCCCAGCAGCTGAGGATGTGCCAAGCCCACTCAGTGTCCTCAAAGGGAAGATCTCAGCACCTAGATTCAGGCTGATTGGAAGCCAGACCTTTATCCACCACCTTTAAGAAATAGAAATATCTGTGTATACATATTAGTCCTGTGGGACCACAAGCGTAAGCTCTCCTGGCCAACAGAACAGATGATCTTGAAGTATCCCCTGGGAGGCAGTCACAAAAATCAGGGCTGTCTTTGTGCATTCATTACCTAATTAACCTTCGTCATCATCACTCCTGAGCCCTATAGAGTTAGGCTTAAAAATAAAAACCCAGCCATGTCACTAAGTAAAAATGCAAACTGTAAATCAGCATCTAGGATGTGACACCAGTAACAAATCTGTGTGTGTATGCACATACACACTTTATTTTTCCATGGGTATGTATATATATATGTATAGAAACAGGCCCAGAAGGAGGTCTTCCAAACTGGCAAGAGTGGTTACCTTTGAGGAGCAACTATCTGGTCAGGGGGCATTTTCACCTGATCTCCCTGGGCTTTTTTTTGTTGTTGTTTACAGTGAAAAATATATTATTTCTTTTTAACTTTTACAATTCACTTAAAGGAAGAAAGTTTATTGAAGTTGAACTAGCAAATGACAGTAAAATTTCCTAAAATGGGCAATGGATAGAAAATGTAGAAACTTAGGGAAATCCATAAATGGGCAAAGCCCCATAGCAGGTTTCTTGGAAATCATACAGCACCTCTCTCTCTCTCACACACACACACCCTCTGTGTGGAGTTTATCTTACCTGATAACTCTTACCAGAGCAGCTACTGTCCAGGATTTTCTATCAGTGTTAGAAAATCCATCCTTTCAAATGTGCAGTTCTAGAACAAAAATGACTTAAAATTGTATGTTCCAAAGTATTTCTTTAACCTCCCACTTGGAAGTTTGAAGTAGCTCAGTTTTTTGCCATTTCTCCATAACCCAAAGCAATGTTCATAAGGCAGATGAAGGAGGCACAAACCAAAGCCTTGCCTGCAAACACACATTCTCGCAGGGAGTCAGAGAATAAGGACCCCGGCTACTGGTCAAATATGCTGGAGCCCTCAGGTGTGCGGGGAAGTTCAGAAGCTAAAGCCATTCACTTCCAAGTCCAGTTTTGTAAGACATATTTATCTCCCCCTCCCCATCCCACCCTCCCCCCCTAAAAAACATTTTTTGTGGTTTCTTGGCTGGCTACTTTGGTATATATACTAGTAAGGATATGGATGGAATGGAGCCAGAATTCTAGGTTCAAATCCCAACTTCTCCATTTTCTAGTAGTGTGACCTCGGGCAAATTTGTAAACTTCTCTTGCCCTTATGCTTCCCATCTGTGAAATGGGGATCTCCCTTGTAGGCTTGCTGTAGTGATAAATCAACTAGGACACCATAGCCGTCTGTAGAGTGTCTGGAATACAGGAAAGCCTTTAAATGAAATTAGTGTTATTTGAATTAAGGTTCCAGCTTTAATAACTTAAATGATTAGTCAAGATAACCTAACTGGTGACTGTGCTGCAATTCCCATGTGTCCTATGTGCTCCTTTATGTGCCTACACAGTACCTTACTAAATGGTGGCTGTGGATGCTAACTAGGCAGGTGGCCATATATTCTGAGGGCAAAGCTGATTTTCTGTAACCAGTATCTTCCTGGTAAACTGTCAACATCAGGCCACCCCGTCACTCTAGTGGACCGTGAAACCTCAGAAAAATAAGGGCCCCTTCAGTAGGGATCTCATGGGAATTAGTTCAGGGAACTCTAGGATTTAACACATAAGTGATACAGAGAAGGCTGTCACCTTTTAATTTTTTTTTTCCAACGTTTATTTATTTTTGGGACAGAGAGACAGAGCATGAACGGGGGAGGGGCAGAGAGAGAGGGAGGCACAGAATCGGAAACAGGCTCCAGGCTCTGAGCCATCAGCCCAGAGCCTGACGCGGGGCTCGAACTCACGGACCGCGAGATCGTGACCTGGCTGAAGTCGGACGCTTAACCGACTGCGCCACCCAGGCGCCCCTGTATCACTTATAATAAACATCTCATTCTCCATGGCACGAGATAGTTACAACAACAACAAAAGGCAAATATAAGTTGTGTGTGAATTTTTTTAAGTGAACTTGGATTTTAATAGCTCTTTGCTGATACCAATATCTAATAGCTTTTGGAACAATTTGTCAAAAGTTACTGGAGCTGTATGGTGAAGAAGCCATCGTCACTTATATTTTGGCGAAGGGGGGGGGGGTCGGTGTGCTCAGTGAAACAACCGAAAGTACCTTGCTGATCCCACCAAGTAGCTGGGCTGTGGGAGGAAGGAGGAGGAGCTGAACCTTGGCCAACCCCAGTTAACCCCACTTCTTGGGTTGTGTTGCAGGGATCATGTACCGCAAGTCGTGTGCCTCCTCAGCAGCCTGCCTCATCGCCTCCGCTGGGTACCAATCCTTCTGCTCCCCTGGGAAACTGAACTCAGTGTGCATCAGCTGCTGCAACACCCCACTTTGCAATGGGCCCCGGCCCAAGAAACGGAGCAGTTCTGCCTTGGCCCTGCGGCCGGGGCTCCCCACCACCATCCTGCTCCTGAAACTTGCCCTCCTCTTGGCTCACTGCTGAAGTTGGAGATGCTCATCCCTCCTGCATTGTCCTTCAGGCCCTTGCTCCCCCTGCTCCCCCAGCTTCTCCTGGGTGTCCTTTTTTTGTGGGTTGGGAGGGAGCGTATTCTCTTTCTTTCAGTTCCTTTGCAAATCAAAGAGCTCGGTGTCAGTTTCTGTAAGCTCTGAATAAATTCAGTCTGACTTTTCAGTGTGTACTTGAAGGGAAGAGGGGAGTCCAAGTCTGTCCCCTATTACCAGAGGCAAGGTCGGGCTGGCAGAATCAGTCCCTAGAAGACACTTAGGGAGGCATCCATTTTTTCCAAGGCCCCTTGCTTCCACTCCTGTCCCTCATAGGGGCATGGTTTATTTTGTCACTGCGTGTGTCAGATCATGTTGCTTTCATTGGGGGCGCCGGTTAGTCCTCAAGGCTTCCATAGTTGACATTCACACTTCATGTTCCTGAAAACCATTCCCTGCGGCGGAGTTGGGTGGTTTCATCTGCACGTTGGGTTCTGCTGCCTCAAGACTCAATTGCTGGGGCTTGGAGTCTGGCTCGCCCCCGTTCTGGAAAGTGCTCAAGTAAACCTTGTTAGTTCTTGCAGAGGAACTGCACCGGGAAGCGGTGAAGATGAGGGGGCGACGCGCGGAGCGAGTGCTGTCCGCAGCAGAGGTGACGCGGGCACGCAGGTGTTTGCTGTGGTTGGCATGCGGTAGAGTCAGGCGGCAGCGGAGCACCTGCCCAAACACCCTGCGGAACTGCTGCGAGGACACGTTGTACAGGAGCGGGTTGATGACCGAGCTCAGGTAGAAGAAGGTGTCGGAGAAGGGGAGGAGGATCATGTACGCCCGGAAGTAGGACTTTGTCCAGTCGTGCTTGGGTTTGGCTGCGGCCATAATCCTCCGCACCTGGTTAGGCATCCAGCAGACAGCCAAGGTCACAACAATCAGCCCTGAGCAGGCAAAAGGAGAGACCGACACAAACAGCATGAGAACAACAATCAAAGCCACAAAATATTTAGCTCCCCAGCTCTGTGCTTACTGGCCAGGAAATGCTACCAATTTTTCAGTGTTGTGCTCGACTGCTTCTTTTGCCACTAGCAAAAAAGAATCGAACAGTGTGTTTCAAGGCTGGGGGAGTTGACTGTGTTAAAGACCATTAAATGCTTTCGACTATTTATGCATACCTTTTGATGGCTGTTCATTTAAAAAAAAAAAAAGTTTTCATTGTTGTGTATCCAGAAAGCATTTTATATAGTCCAGTAAAATCTGTCATTTTGTTTTAAGGAAATATGTCATATCAGGTGAAACAATATTTGTATTTCAAAGCATGTCTACATAAAGACAACCCAGTGATATTTTCAAGACAAATGGAAACGGTGTCCCTTGCAACAAAGAAGCTTATTTAGTGACACTGATTTTACATTCAATTTCAAGGGACACAAAACCAGGAATAGCCTGTCACTGAGAATGGTTTTTGAACATGTCTACTCCATGCAGTGTGCACACCTGTAATTCTCATGCTCCTATCTGCAACAGCACTCTGTTTTTAGAAATTTTTAGTTATATCGTCTATTCACCCTCATGGGGGAAAAAGACAATTACCCACAGACAACAGATCTAAAACCCCCTTAAAGTTTAGCCAGTAGTGTGCTCATTGCCTGTGGCACTGAACTACGGTAAATGATCACGCCCAAAGGGACACCACTTGGTGACCCCATGAGATCAAAAGTTGACTGAATGGACATGCTTGCATGTCCACAAGTTTGCTTTCCAACTTACACCATCTCTATTTCTATGACCTCTGACAGAGCAAAGGAGCATTTATCTACAGTGACAGACAAAACCTCCAAGAAAAGGAAGATCAGGAATCTGCACAACATTTGCTCTTTGCTCTGAAGCCAATACACCAGAAAGTAAGTTCCTCTGTGGAAAGCCGGGATCTTAAAGCTGTATTTTGGATTGTCAGAAATACTTCCTCCGTTTCCTAAATTTGATTACTATAATAAGGAAAATTCATTCATGTTTTGAACTTTTGTATTTTCTAGGAAACCACAAGGAAGCGATGGTTGGCAATAATCCCTTTCTGCCTCTGATCCATAGTAAATATTTCATTGATAAATGCTCCAGGAAAACCAGCCATGTCTATGCAACCAGGGTTCGCCCTCCCACACACTCACCTGAGCATGCCGTACCTGATAGCTGAGCAGCCCTAGGTATGTTCTCTGCCCCAGAAATAACCCAGTTCCCTGAACAAATCCTCCAGAAATCCCAGCTGTCAGCAAAGAAGGTTCTGGAAACTCTGCTCCCCTGACCATTTCTAAGCGTTTCTCTTGTCAGCCCTCAGCCCAAGCTGGAAACACAAACTTACTTGCTTATCTCTTTCCTTTGTGTTTGCTTCCCTGAGAACATAAGTCTAAAAATACAATGAGCAAAGTAACGTATTGATCTGATGAAAAAGCAAAAAAAAAAAAAAAAAAAAAAAAAATCACCTTAAGTCAAGAGTATATTCTGAATCAGCTAGTTACAGCTGCTGGAAGGGAACAAAAATCACTATTTTTCTGTGTTTAAATACTTGCACAAGAAAGCGGGGGCTTTTTTCCTCCCACTGCTTTGAGAAGCAAGGATGCTTCCAGACGTGTACTTTTCGAAGTGGGTTCATAAGTTACTTCTCCTTGTTTTTAGCAGAAGCAGTTCTGACTGAAAGGTTCATCTCATTAACTGAAGCAGCTGGGAAGCTTCCCCTACCTAGGGAAGCTATATGTCTTCACAAAGGTTTAAGTTCTTTTCTCTGCCACTGCATTTCAGATCAGTACAACCATCTTAATCTGAAGACGTATTTCCCAGAATATGGAAATAGAGCATAGGATTTTAGGTGTGTCTTATGATCCCCTGTGGGAGGCCATACTTCAGGCAGCAAGAATCTAGCAAGGGGACAAGAACTCACTTGTACTTACTCTGGTTGAACACAGCATCACTTTTCAAGCCCAGGGAAGAAAGGCAGTGAGGAAAGGGGCCAGGGCTGTGGGGCAAGTTACACAGTCGTTATTTTTGTGTCCTTTCTTTGTCCCTCTCCTATGTGCGTGACCCTTATGCTGGTTACCTTCACCCCCTACACCCGGCATCAGTTGTCCTTGACTGATCTTCCTGTCTAAAGAAGCAGAGTGCAGTAAAAAGCAAGACCAGATATCTTGGGTGTGAGGAAAGGCAGAAGACCAGATGAAGAGTTGTGGCTTGATTTGTCGTTTTAGCCAGGATAAAATTTTTGCTCTGAAATCGAAATGAGCTCGTCCATAAGTGGGAGGTAACTTATTCTAAACAAGTTGCTGAAAATAGGGAACCAGACCCAAGATTCTCCAGTGATGAGGAAAGGGGAAATCTCTGCTTTCTGGGTGTAGAGTAGCAAGGTAGGATAGCAAATATGAACTTGGAGAACAAGAGAGGAGAAATTGAGTTAGAAATCCACAGAGGTTAACAATTAAGCATCAGAAAGGTCTTGACACATAACCAGGAATGTATTGAGTGTTCCCTCTACCAGGTTCTGTGCTAAGCACTCTGTGTTTATTTCCTGTTTCTTACTTCTGATAATAACCTGGTGAGATCAAAGCTGTCATTATCTTCATTGTACAGGGGAAGAAGTTGTGTCTCAGGTTAGTTGCCCACATCCTATAGCTAGGACACAGGCTAGGCTCCAAAAGCCATTATACATCTGTGTTTTTTTTTGAATGACACAGTATTGTTTCTCCTTTTTTCCATTTGAAAAATACAGAAAATGCAGGCAAGTAAGTATGAGCCATTATTCCACCCTGTAAAATGGATGTAAAACAGCACTGACCACTAGAAATACAATGTAAGCTACTGTGGTGGCTTACAACTTAAAATTTTGAGTAGTCACATTCAGAAAGTAGAAAAACAGGGTAAATCTATTTTAATATGTTTCTTAACCCTCCCACCACAACTAGAGGTGGGAAAAAGGGCTGGTGTCTTTTCTCCTTGCTTTGAAAGATAATTTTGTTATAGGAAAATAGAGGATTAGGCATACAGGCACCCACCACAGGTACTTGTGACATGTGCTTCCATGGGCCATGTAATAGAAGTTAGCCTCTGGTTGGAAGCAAGGGGGAACAAACCAGCCCCCTTGTAAAATTTGTCATTTTATAAGGTAATGGCTCACTTTTAGATTTGAAAAAAAAAAAGTGCATTGAGATGACATTGAGACTGTTGTGTCCCAGGTAATTTTTTATTAAGTTGTGTGCAACTAGTTCAGCTCTAGTCCCAGCTACTCTGAGACAAAGCTTTAAAATCTTAATGCATGCCTTAATAGAGTATATTGAAGATTTGACTAAATTTATGTTTGGCTGCATTTGATTTGGACTTACATTTGGAAAAATCTAGAATGCTTTGGTCTGTATGGTATGTGCAGCCCACAGTTAAAAACAACTTTACTAAGAACTTGAATGAAGATCAGTGAACTGAACCCAGTCATGTTAAGTCGGCAAACTGTTTTAACTATATTATTGATAGATCTGTATTATATTGAAGACAGCCTTGCCCTCTGGGGTAAGAAATACCTTCATAGCTTATCTGTTTTTACACATAAAGTACTTCCATTTGTCCTCCGTGATCACTACGCTAAAATGACAGGTGCCATTAGACGATGACACAGATTTATTCTCGGCAAAGTAATGTTGTTTAAAAAACAGAAGTAGGGGCGCCTGGGTGGCGCAGTCGGTTAAGCGTCCGACTTCAGCCAGGTCACGATTTCGCGGTCTGTGAGTTCGAGCCCCACGTCAGGCTCTGGGCTGATGGCTCGGAGCCTGGAGCCTGTTTCCGATTCTGTGTCTCCCTCTCTCTCTGCCCCTCCCCCGTTCATGCTCTGTCTCTCTCTGTCCCCAAAAAAATAAACGTTGAAAAAAAAATTAAAAACAAAAAAAACAAAAAAAAACAAAAAAACAGAAGTAATAGAGATGGCCAACAACATGTCATACTAGCATTTGAGTCAGGCTGCATGGTTTCATCTGCGGAAAACGTGAAGCTATGCCACCTGGGATGTGGCAACATTCTTAACATCTGACTCTGGGCTCTGTTTTCTTCCTTCTAAACCTTTCCAGTGCAGGAAGCTGTTCCTGTGATCCTGAGTTCACCTTAGAGTCATCGGAGAATGAGAGAGCAGGTCTCCCAAGGAAACTAGGCCCAGAACCCCTCTGTCTTACAAATGATGGAATTGAGGCTGATTCACCCAAGATCTCCAAAGGCAGAGTGGCACGACTCTCTCTACCTCTTGTCTTATGGCTCAGAACATGGGATTTGACTTTTGATTGACAAACAAGCCTATCATTCTATTTTCTTTATGTTTATTTAATTATTTTGGAGAGAGAGAGAGATTCCCAAGCAGGCTCCACGCTGTCAGCATAGAGCCCAGTGCAGGCCTCACTCCCACAAACCGTGAGATCATGACCCGAGCCCAAATCAAGAATTACACACTCAACCAGCTGAGACACGGGGCACCCCCATCATTTTACCTAAATGTAGTTTTCTTCACTCCAGTTTTAGACCCAAATGCTGGCCATCCCCCATCTGGAATGCAATGCAAGGCAGGCCAACCTCAGATCCTAGCTAAAGTCAGCACAACACCTGCTCTGTACACTGTCTGGATTCAATTTTAGGACCAGGTTCCTCAAAAAACAGGCACACAACAAAGCCCTGGAGCACATATTTTCCCCATTTTAAAGGAAGGTGAAATGTAGCTTCCCCCAAAGGGAGCTGAAGCATGTTTGGAAAACAAGGTATGACTCCAGGTTACGACCTTGCGATCAAGCTGATAAGGACTCCATGTATCCATCAGACTGTCCATCTTACGTGAGTACCTGCTAAAAAAGAATACTTAGCCTGTACTAAGCCAAAAAGCTCAGGAAATTCCATCTTTATCCAGCCAAGGTAGTTTGTGTGATTTGAGTCACAAAGATTTGCTTTGCCACTTGGTGTTAGGGCCCATTTTACTGAACTATTGAAGCCTTGGGATACAGAGGGGGTTGTAGAGAATGATTTAGGTATTCTGTGTTTAGCATAGCTTCTCCATCTCTTCTTGCCCAGTAGTCCACTTCTCTCTAACTGTGACCACAGTGAGCAGGAGTTAGTGATCTCCCCTGCCCCCCCCCCAATTTAAGTTCTCTGGACTTTACTCAGCAACCATCTCCTGATTAGCTGGGGCCTATTACAGACCCTTTCTTAAGCACTAGTGATTAAAGGCTGGGGAGGAAGAGGCAGCCACAGCCAGGTGACTGCTTGCCAAGGGTCATGAGAGCTATCTGGGTACAGTTTTATGGAAGCAAAGAGCTGGTTGACCCTCCCATGGGGGGTGAACGCTCAGAAAATTAAAGGAGAGTCAGAGGTAGCCTGCAAAGGGTCACCCAGGCAAAGACACAGCATGAGCAAGGGATGGAAGACTGTAATAGCAGCTGACTCTGCCAGCTTCCAGAGCCAGAACAACATGAAGGGTGGGTAGAGACTGTGGGAAATGAGGCCCATTAGAGAACACTCCATCAGGTTTTGTGAACAATAAATCAACTAGCATATAGTAGGATGAGGAACAGCTGCCTGTGAAGAGACATTTAAATAGCAATTGTCAGTGGAAAGTAAGCATATGGTTAGTTGAATGAAGAGCTAGGGAAAGACAAATACATCCAATAAAAGGTTTTAGCACTCACTCAATTTATATCTTTGTGTTTGCCAATCTGCTTCTGCTAGCCAGTTTGAGACATTGATCTGACTTTGTCCCATCCAAGGAGCCCCAATCAGCACCAACCTTGGTTTAGTCTCTAGTCTCTGAGACAGTGGCTCTCAAAACAGGCTTCCTGGAATAGCAGCCTTAGCACCTCTTTGGAACTTGTTAGAAATACACATTTTAGGCCCCAACCCAGATCTACTAAATAAGAGACTCTGAGAGTGGAGCCTAGCAGTCTGGAATTAACAAGCCCACCTGTTGATTCTGATGTTTACTCCAATTTGAGAACTTCTCTAAGGCAACCCCAAGTTGAGGTGGAGCCTGGGTTCTCAGGCCTTTGTGGTTCTATCACTATCACATTGGCCACCTTTTGAAGCATCCCATTTTCCTGAGTGCAGACTGAACTCATAATAACCGAGACCCCCTTCCCTCATTCCTGAGCACTGCCCTTGCCTTGGTTCTACCTTTCTTCTTTTTCTTCTTTCTACCCTCCATCTTTTCCTAAGGTCACCATAAACCAGGCCATATACAGCCCTTGTCCACCCACACTGCCCACCCACACCTTCTCTCCTTCTCCATTACTTTCTAGGATGGCTTTGAGAAGGTGATTCCATCAGGAGCAGGCAAGTTCCTAACAGCTAACAGGTGGCTTCCTGGATGGGTGGTCACCATGCACTGCTAGGGCTTGCCAAAGGAAATCTGAGAGGCTTTGGAAGCAATGCTGATAGGATGTGAGGGACCTGGGTGTTGGCCAAGCACTGGACACACCCCCACTGGGAGCCCACTCCACGTCCCATGCCCTCTGACCCTGCCAGGGCTTGCCTGGATACTTGCAGTCACTTTTCCAGTGACTAGTCAGCTTAGTGATTATTGTTTAAACCCATCTGCCTCTTGCACCCTTTCCTATTGAAAAATTTTGTTTAGAAGAGGACTAAAAAGCTGTTAGAATTTGTTTTCAGAGAAGGGCACAGGCCACAACTTTAAAATGATGGAAAGGCCACAGATGGCCGCTCCTGTCCATGAAAACAGATGGTTTGATGTCCCGTCTTTGCCCCAGCTACTTGATGGAGCCTATGAAAGGACTCTGTCCCCATTGTGGCTCCAGCCACCATGTGGAGGCCAGAGACCCAGATTCCAAAATGGCCTTCAATTTGCTAAGCATTACATCCATCTCATTCTGCTCTACAAGCTTCAGGACAAGGAAAGACCTATATAAATTGCTACAATCGCAAATATATATTTCTAAAACAAGCCCTGCTGTCTGGGAGCTGTAGGACAGCCACATGCACTCAAAGTAAACAGCATTTAGGGTCAGCGTTGTGGTTTAGTGCCTCTATTCATTTATGAATGCATGCTAAATGATCAACTGGAATCCACTGAATAAATATTTTTCTATGTGGATCTCAATTGTATGCAGCTGTGTGGCTTTCTATGTAAAGAATCTATTCTGAATCTACTGATGGTTAAGTCCCCATGGGTGGTGTAGCTACAAATGCCAAAAGCTGTTCCTCAGCAAGACAGATGAAGGCAAATGCTTCTTGCCTCGTAACACACAGCACAGGAGTGGGTGGTGGGAACCAGGGCCATGATGCCCTCTAAGCCTGTGGGATGGCCAGGCCGCCCTTCAATGGATGAACTCATTCCCACTCACATACCTGGGCCATGTCACTTATAAACACTCATCAATTTTTATGGCTGAAAGCCTGCCATTTTTAATGGAATTTAGTTTCCTGCAAATGGTAGAGAAAGCCTCAGAATGCTAGCACTCAAGAAACTTAAGAGCTGAGTGTACTGGTGAACCAGCAGAATCCCCAGCAAAGTGGATGAGGAGCCTAAATTCACACAGCCTCGGAGTCCAAAACAGGGCCTCTCAGTCTGATGGTGTCTGCACTGGCCACGACCTCCCCTCAGAACCCACAAAAACCACACAGCCCTTGGGTAAAGCCGCACTCAGCCAAGAGTTCAGCAGAGGCAACACGGGCATTCTGGGAGTATGGAGACCAGCCAAAGTGCCTGCAGATCTCCCCCTGCGTCTCTCGTTCCCTGCTCATGCCCCCTCGGTACAGCACAACAGACGGAGACCCTGGGAGAACTGGTGTTGAGTGCCTATGACTGAGGCAGGCCAAGCCCAGGTGAGGCAAGCAGCCCCTTAGTGTGTCTTTCCTAGACTCCAAGACTCTGCACATGCCTGGGCCCAGACCACATCTTCCCCACCCTCTGCTCTTTCTTCTCCTGTGTCCCTTCCTCCCTCCCCCTCTTTTCCCCCCACTGCCTATGCTTTCCCCAGCTCTTATTCTACAAGTTTCTGCTTAGTGTCACTGCCTCCAGGAAACCTTCCTGTCTCCACAAGGCTCTGTCAAGTTTCTACTACAGGTTCACCAGCATCTTTTACTCCTGTCCCTGTCATCATAACAATACAGCATAAACGAGACCATCGACTCCATGGGGGCAGGATGCCCCATCTTCACTGTT